GCCAAGGCGCACGAACAGCGCTCGCTGGAGCAGTTTGAGGCGGCAACGAAGAAATACGCGCCTCGTACGTTGGCCAGAGAAACTGTGGATTATTTGCAGATGCCTAACATTGGTTGTGACGGTTCTTTTTTGCTCTTCAGAGCTCGTTGAGGACGCGTTGATCAAGAACCACCTGGGGAAGCTGTACGAGCAGCTTTTGGAAAGCAACTTGATCAAGATTATCCAGCCCTTCTCGTGCGTCGATATTGCACACGTCGCCAAGCTGATCAAGTTGCCGCTGCCGCAAATTGAGTTAAAGTGAGACTGAATTGCAGTTAGATACGCTTTTTTTGCCGAGGGGGGGGGTCTAACGAACGGGCCATGTTTTCTGTAGGTTGTCGCAAATGATCTTGGACCACAAGTTCCACGGCATCTTGGACCAGGGCAAGGGACAGCTTATCGTGTACGACAGCCCCGTCGAGGATGTACGTTGCGGCGCTCTTTATTTTCGGTGGACACGTGCGTGACGTACGCTGACGTTTGTTATTTTAGAAAACATATACCTCCGGTCTTGGTGTCATCGAGAACGTCGGAAACATCGTAGACAACCTCTTTCGACGCGCCGACAAGCTGCAGGTATAAGAAGGACGGATATACTTGCCGAAACTTGCGACTTCTCAGCGACGTACTGGTAGCAATGAGTGCTGACGCTAAGGACAGGAAGCCGAAATATCACCAGCGATTGAGCATGTGCAAACAACCTTATTTAAAAATCTTTAGCGGAATCGGTGGTACGGCCCACTCACTATGGACTCGGAAGAGCCGTCGTCATTATCATTAGGCGTGGCAAGTGCCATTTCATTGTAGGCAGCCATGGCCTTGGCGTTCTTCACGCCACTACCCACGTAGGTCATGTTGCCAAACTCGTTGGTCTTTTCAGCGTCCTTCATCGTTTCCTGCGACGTCGGATGGTCATGACGACGATGACCACAAGTGTGAGGAATAACACAAGGCCCAACACGATGAAAGCTGCGTAGAGCGGAGGACCGAACGTCACCTCGGAGGCATCTCCGCCGTTGGCTGTTGTAGCTTCCAACTGGAACGTGCATCGCGGACCTCCCCAGAACTCGTTAATGCATTCACAACGACCCGTGTCGGCATTGCAGATGCCTGTGTGGAAAGTGTACAAAACACGGAAAGGTATGTTACAGTCGTTGTTGTCTCGATACGATGCACCTCCGTTCACCTCGACAAGCTTGTTGTCTCCATCAACGTAGTCAGTTTCGTGGTCGAGAATCCATTGCCGTATCGGATGCGATGCGGGATCGCACTCGTGAGCCATCGTGGAGCCTTTGGATGTGTCTTGATACACGCGAACGTAGTCGATCTTCATGTGCATGGGGAACGAGTCGCAGATGAAGTTGGCTTCGGGGTCTTTGCCATCACCGCGACACGGGTTACCAGGGTTTGGAGGATACGTCCCCCATGCCGCTGACAGCGCGACGTTGAGAATAATATACGAGGGCTCCTCAGGAAACGTGAGTCGTGGGTTGGGCTTACTGCCGCCTTGCGGGAGCCCGAAAAAATAATATGCATAAAAATTAATCCTAATTTTTTAATTTAATTATTAATTAATGGCTGTCAACCAGGCCTCGGACAATACAATACGAAATTGTACTGCAAGACATCGAGTCCCATAATAATAACGGGTATATGATGAAGTACAATAATAATAACGGGACCAATATAAGTATATTGTGGCCTCTAACTACCAAGTCTTCCTACTCATTGGCGACGAGCGAAGTCGCGTTCCACATGTCGCGGTTCACGCGAAGAAATGCTAACATCTCAAAGTTTGCAGAAAGCATGCATGACCGCTGAGGCGTCAGAATGAGCTTGCACTGCGAAAACAGTCTTTCAACTGTGTTCGAGGTGGGCGGCACCACCTTTGCCAGCTCATGAAAGCTCACACCCGCAGCACCAGCCGCTCGCATCTGCTTCCCCCCTCGTAGAATTGCGCTGGCGTAATCGCTCGTCGAGCGCTCCTTCCTCTTACCAGTTGCAGCATCTGGCTCCACCACCAATCGCTGGACTGCGCGCGACTCAGACGCAGTGAGCTTCGCATTGTTGCAAATCTTGACCAAAGCTGCCTCAAAGGCCGGCGCATGGACGATCTTCGCCGCCGGACGCAGATGGCTCGCCATAACTGGGTAGTCGTCAACAACCTGGTCAAACAAAACACGCACGTCCACCATGCTGGTGTCCTCGCGCTGGAGTGTCTTGCAGACACTATCGAGTTTCTTGAGGTGCTCTAGCAGGCCGAGAAGCTTCTTGTGGGCCGCACCTTTTGGGATGAACTCGTCAACAGCATCAACCTGCCGAATAGAATCTCTAATTTACTTATAGCGGTCCACCATTGCGAATGTCGAAGACCAACGGGTAACATTCCGTTTAACAGGTTTCAGGTCCGTGAATTTTGATAGTTCCGCAGCATTGTTCACGTGTCGTAGCTGCACCATCAGACTGTTAACTGCAGCGAGCTCCGGCTTATAAGCAGCTAAGTAGCGATTCACCGCAAAATTGTACCGGTGACTTGCACAGCCAACCAGTGGCAACTCCAACAACGTAGCAATCCGCTGATTGGTCGCGCAATTGTCGGCTACCAGAAAAGCCACCATAGAGATGTCCTTGTTATACAGCGCCAGCACGCGCTTGAACATCTCGATGTGCACTTCAGCACCTTGGCTGCCGTCCTCCAGCGGTGACAGCGACAGCAGTCGCTCACGGCGCTTGCCGTCTGCGTAGCAAACACCGTAGATACCGACGTCGTGCGTGGTACCGTGCGTCCATCCATCCCACATGACACCAAACAGCTTGCCCAACTCGCTTTCGATCAGCACACCAACGCTCTCGGAGCACTTCTTCATGTCTTCCTTCTACGTCTTGGACGAAACGGGCTTCCAGGACGACATGGACCTTGTGAGGTGGTTGTCGACCTCGGAGACGGGCATGTGCCTCTCTACGACCCACTGAAGCCACTGATAGCGATGCTGAGTCGCCTCGGACACGAACCCAAAGTTGGACAGAGGGGCGTCCGTAGCCGCAGATGCGCTGTAGGTCTCGTTGAAGTCGGGGTGCGTCAGGTTGAGGTGGGACATCAGGTTCGAGTACCCGGTACCGGTTTGCTGCTTGCGGTAAGAACCGCAAAGCTGACAGCGGAAGTCGCCTTGGCCCTTGTCTTCGTAGAAGAATGCGCAGATATCACGGTTCGGAGCCATCGTGGTCAAATGAAAAGTGAGGGAGTGCTGTGAGGCTTCGGCTCGTGCTCGTGTCTGTGCCTGCCAGCCAACCACTTGAACGATTGGCGCGAAGAGCTAGTTGCCTCTAGCATATTGGTATAAACCGGTATTGTACTGATATTATTGGATCAATATCATATTATATTGACTTTGGACAGATCCAATAATAATAATTGTAGCCGGATAATACAGTAATTACGGGATTGATATTATTTTTTCCCACCCCTGCACGGTAACTTAAGTGAACAGCACCAATTTTGAGTAAGGTCTAGTCAAGTTACAGCGTGGGGACGCGAAAAATTAGCCTGCGCTGAATTCAGGTCGCCTGATCTCGAACGGTCGTCTTCAAGAGCCGCTGAAGAGTGCTCTATTGTGAGAGCGGCGTTCAAGAAACGTAATTGCGCACTACGTCGACGTCGCGTACATCCCGCCAACGTCTAACGAGTGTGAGCGCTTCTTCTCTCTCGCTAAGCTGGTGCTGTCCGATCTACGGAAGCGAATGTCTCCAGCCAGGCCCGAGATGATAATGTTTCTGAACTACAATCGTGACTTGCGAAGTAATGCAAATAATTGAATTAATTTGCTCAGCTCACATCGATGTATTAATCTAAGTATTGCATTTTCGGGTTCCCTGGCCGGGATCTCGAAGATAGGGTGGCCACCGAGCATCCAGCGAAGGTATCCGCTGTCACCAGTGACCCACTCGAGCTGGTACGCGACGTAGTCATAGTAGGCGCCCATGTGGATGCCCCAGTTAGCAGACAGCGCATCCATTTGGTAGCTGTAAGGCTTCATAGTGTTGGTCTTTGGAGTCGAGTCATTGCGTGGCGCTGAACAGCGACTGTCCTGGTTGTCTGGATCACAGAGAAACACACCCTGGTAGCCGTTCATCTCAGGAAAGCACGTGCCGTTCGAGTTGATGTTCCAGTGGCCCAGACTCTTGTCATCGTCGATGTAGCCCATGTCTCCTTGAACGTCGTTGGATGCCGGGCAATAGAGCAGGCTGCACGTATTCTCAGTGATATTTTCCACACCCGCCGCTACGATAGCATATAACTGCGTATCATTTCCATCCACAGCACAATAGTTATTGGAGCCATAGCGCAGTCCCTGATACCAGCTCTGATGACCACGGTCCTTGTAGTTTTCCGTGGGTACACCGGGTAAATTGGCCCCAATGGTAGCGCACCCCTGGCTGTACACGCAGTAGCTCCAGTCACCGACACTTTCGTTGATAGCCGCACGACGGTAGTCTGCGGGCATTCCTGGGGCAATTTGGATGGACGACGAAATGGCCACGCCACCTCCTTCCAGCAGATCGATCTCGACAGCACCGCGACCCTGGTTAAGGTTCAAGCCATGACCAGGATCAGAGTCACACGCACTAATACGCTGGTTGCTGGAATTGAAAACAGTCTCGTTGCACTCGCTGTACGAGAATGGCCACATGCGGGCCGTCGACGAAGAAAACAGCGCACGGCCGAGGTTCCCCATAAGCCAAATACCCGGCCACGTTGGGTAGTACTTCGTCAGCTCGGCACGTGCGTTGTGGCCCTTGCCAATGTCCGTGTTGTTGCTGTCCGCGCTCAAAACGGCAGGGAGGTTGGCACGCACCTCCAGCATACCTCCTTGGAAGCAGAACTTGTTCCAAGTCTGCAGCATACCCGATCGATAATACTGATCAAAACGCAAACGTCAGTCTCTCAAATATACCTTACTGTCAGCCACAACAACGCTTACGAAAGTGGAGTTCTGGAATCCTGGAGGACGCAGATAATTATTCCAGACTGTGATGTTGTTAACTTCGTCGATGGACTTGATTCGTAGGTAACACAATCCTTCCTCGTCGTCGTCGCACACGACCGAAGTCATATCGTGCGAATAAAGCTGCAACGCATCGTTGGTACCGTCGGGCATCTCCAACGACGTCCACAGATGATCGGCTCCTGCCGTAAAGTTGCGGTTCACGTCACCGAATTCGTCGCTCATGATGAGCTCCCACGTGTCTCCGCGCGAGGTCACGTATGTCCGAACATCCTCAGGTGTGTCGGGATCGACCCACGGTCGAATACCTGAACGGGTCTCGAGCTTGACGAGACTGCGATCCGTGACTGTGGATGAACCACGGGATCCGCTGGAGCTGTCACTGCTGTTTGCGTCGACTACTGCAATAGCTGCGGCGCCGATCCAGAGTGAGCTGCACAACCACAACACCATTTCGCCAGACGATCTACTCGCGAACTTCTGTAAAGGAGACTTGCCAGAGCTTTAGCGGGTTTTATTGTGTGAGAAAATTTGAAGTGGACCGGAGGTCGTGGAGCTTTGTCCGTCAAAAGCTCCCCCATCATCATGATGATCATGCCATGATTTGAAATCTCCACGGTCGATATCATGGTGTCGTTACAGCACTGTCGAAAATGCATGGAGATTGAAATTTCAGTGTTAGAAAAGTGGAAGCGATAGTAAAGGATTTTGAGAAGAGCTCTATGCATAGGCTCCACTGGCTTCAGCTTTCGACGACGAAGGATAAAACACCGCGGTGCTGCAAGTTGCTCGCCGATAGCGTGTCGACTATCTACAAAAGGAGATGAAGTACATACATGTACAGTATCCGATACATTTTCAGCAGCACAACACTGTTGGGTCTGTCCTCCCTCACGTCTCTGGCCGACTGACTTTTCGGAGACCACGAGCGGCTCTGGATCCTTCAGAACTGGTTTTGGTATCTACGTGCTTTAGTGACGTCACAAATCTGGGATATTTTATAAGGTCATCATCAATTCTAAACAAAAGCAACGGTTTTGGGCAGATCTCGGCAATTACTTTATTCTAGTGTGCTTGGTTTGAAATATAAGCAAGTAGTTTTTTAAATAACGGGCAGTTAAATTCCCAAAATTTTGTGCTCCAACATACACCATAATTAGTCATGGCATGACAATTAGAGTGAGCGGTGTAACGAAAATAGGAGGATAAGATAGAATCACTACAGTTGATTAAACCCACACTCTTATGGTGGTGTTGGCCACTGACAGGAAGAGCAGCACACTACTAATTTAGGAGCCGACACGCACCAACTGTTTGGTAGTCAAACCCTGATCATATGCGCGGAGCACCTGCAAAGAGGACTTCTACACCAGCTCAAATGAAGATACCACCAACATGGATCCGACATTATATGTAGAGGTTTATACACAGCGTGCATTGACGGCTCCATAGCACTTTGAAGCAATCATAATTGGAGGTATTTCTATGATTGTAGTCGTCACTACAGAGCTTTAGGAAGTTGGATCATTTGAAAAAGGCTAGGTAATGCTTGTATGACGTCAAATACAAAGATGGTCCGTGCCCACTCAGCAAGTTTGCTAAGTTTCACACAATTTTTTGCAGCACAGAATTACGTGTACATGCACTATGGCTGTGTGATCATGTAGGTTGTGTCGTGAGCCGCAATAACGATCCAGAACCTGTACCCGCCTATAGTTCGACGTATGAGTAAATACTGAGGCATTCTAGTTACGTAGAGTATGTGTAGTCGACAACAGAGTAATGTGTGCGCAACGTGCTACGTGTAACGTTAATCTTGCTAATCGAACGACAAAGAACTCAGGATATCATCGTTGACAGTACTTGGTTTTTGCATTATCCTTATTCAATGAGAGGCCGCTACAAACAATACGACGCCATTCTAGCGACGAGAGGCTTAAGGGAGCAACCTCTTGGGGTCACGCGGGAGCATGGAGGACTTACTGATGTTGCCCAGACCCAAGTACAACATGACCACACGCTCCAGACCAATACCACCGCCACCGTGGGGCAGAGAGTCAAGATGGAGAGAGTAGATGTAGTTGCGCATCGACTCCTGAGGCACACCCAGTTCGTCCATACGCTCCATCAGCAGCTTGGGATCGTGCACATGCTGAGCACACAAGACCATCTCCTCGCCTCGGATCATCATGTCGTACGAGTTGCTCCAACGCTTGTCCGTCGGGTCTGGCATCGTGTAGAACGGACGCACAGCCAGCGGGAACTTGTCGAGGATGTAGAAGTCTGTGTCGTATTTCTCCTTGATGAGACGACCCAGCCACTTCTCTTTCTCTGTGCTCAGATCGTCTTCAGGTCAGCGCCAGCCTCCTTCAGCATCCTGACACCTTCCTAGAAGTTGATGATAAGCGACGGCTTGTTGTACTTGAGCGGCTCGAACGGGTCCTACTCGTTGATAGAAGCCAATTCGTTGGCGTAACGTTTCTTCAAGCCATCGAAAATGTAGATGTACAGGTCTGAGAGCACCTACAGCACCTTGTGGTAGTGCGCCTTAATAGTCATCTCCAGATCCAGACCCACGAGCTCGCACATGTGACGGTGCGTGTTCGAGGTCTCAGCACGGAAGCCGGGGCCGATCTCGAACACGCGCTCGAGACTAGCAACATCACACGCCATATGCTTGTACGTCTGCGGACTCTGAGCCAAGGTAGCGTCCTGGTCGAAGTGCTTGAGTGTGAAGTAGTTGGTTCCACTCCCCGAGGCGCCACCGACCAGCTTGGGCGTGTGGATTTCCACGTAGTCGCTGGATGAGGAATGCACGCACGCGTGTCCAGCAACAACCAACGAAGTGCACGTGGGCCATCGTCAGTCACCGCAGCCATGCTCAATCTCGGCCGTGAATCTGTCGCAAATTAACGCGCCGCTGTTTTTAAAACTCTCAACCGGAAGAAAGCCACGGTACCAATTCTCCTCCCTCGCAGATTGACCTCGTTTCGAAGATTATTGTGACGCAACCACGCGGATCAACAGCTTGTAACGATGGGTTCACTCTGAAGAGCTGAATGTTCAACGTGCCAGCCAAGTACAAGCCACTTCAAGTACTCTGAGAAGGCTCGTACGGCTTCGTTTGCGCGGAGACGGACACGGAGGCCAAGAAGAACGTTGCTATCAAGAAGATCACGCCTATGGAGGATGACGAGTGGGACGCCAAGCACACGCTACACGGACTTCGGACTCTCTCGGTACATCCCACACGGACGGCGTCACGTCTCTAACCGACGCATCGCATCATGTTGGCGCCCTCGAGAGTGTACAATGAGACGGTGGATATGTGGTCCATTGTCTGTATCTTCGGCGAGCTATTGAATCGTCGACCCATGTTCCCTCGCTCCGACTTCCTGGATCAACTATCTCGCGTCTTCAGAGCTCTACCCGTTCCAGTCTCTTCTAGCTTGGTACACACGCCGAAATGTTCTCAAGCCGCGAATTCTAAAGTGAATGAAAAAAAGCATAGCCAATGTATTCATCAGCTGTTACGGATGTAAAGGTCCAACTAAAACTGCCCTGTATCCAGCTCATGTAAAGGCTGCAAGCAGATCCATCGGGATGCAGATAGGCATGCGGCTACATTTGACGACGCTTGGTCTGGATTCTGGACTCTTGCGCTCTGCGTGTGGGAGCTCTTGATCTTGCAGATCTGCGCAAGTTGTGGGTAGACTGTCCGTACACCGGTGTCTGCACATTCAATGCCTGACGGGTGCTGTTCTCTTCAAATCGTGCAATATCAGGATCGGTCTGTGCTACTGCAGCTTGCAGCTCTTCATGTACGTCTGGCAGTGGATCTGCCGGTGATGGAACGACAGGACCTTGCTGCAATGGTACCGGTACCTCCACTGCATTCTGCACTTCACGCAGCTGTGCTACCGGGTTTGGATGGTCGTCTACCAGAGACTCGTTCGCTTCCATGGAAGCAGCAAGTGTAGGTGGCCCGTACATAGCACCTTGAGGCTCTATTGGGCCACCTTTGTTATTGTCTGTATCTAAGTCGCAATTCCCTATCCGCCGAGCTGCAGTGCGCGATTGTTGTGCCGGCCGCACAAATCTTTGCGAAGGAGCTGGCATACCTGGACATGCCAGCCCAGAAAATTCGGTAGCCTTAACAGAGTGTAGGCATATCCCAGCTTTCTTAAAGCACAGACACGAACATGTGCGTGCAGTAGCATCAACAATCCATCCACCGACGGGCAAGTTGACCCAGCTAATTCTAGCGTCGTTTTTGGCCTCGTATGTACACGGCTTTTTAGGATTTGCAGCAAGAGCATGCACAGATTCTCCTGGCTCTTGTAATGAGCTCGTGGGAAGCGGAGATGGTGCGACACGAACCAGAACTAAATTGTTGTCTCGGTGAATCAATTCTGCAGTCATGACCTTTTTTATCAGTCCTTCTGTAAGCAGCCAGTAAACGTTTGGATACAGTAGGCTGATCGCAAAAGGGTTGCATTGAGGCGATAAACGAAATTCGTGATAAATCCAGGCGGACAACAAGCTCTGCCGGGTTCTGTCATTCACTAGTTTTAATGTGTAGTGGTACTGCTCAAGCGGGTTGTTAGTAGCCGCGTACCCTGTGGGGATACGATAAGCTTGCCAGCGTGAAAAGCGGGCGCCTAGTATCCACTGCGAAATAATGTGATTTGTCACACGTCGAAACCGAGGACATATTGTACCCGCTCCACGCCATGACCTCACAACAAACTCTCGTTTACGCAGATAGTGCTCTTCTTCGGTAGCATAGTGCAAATCATACAGATTTCGAAAAATCAACTGAACTGATATCCCATCCAGCTTTGATTCTTGCGTTTGTCTTTGTACATTTTGTGTAACATGGAACCAGCACATTAGGACCGTGCTATCAGGTAATTCAGTTGTGCAGGCATTGCACTGAGCTTTGTCAGCGTCCATCATGACAAAGTCGGGCGAAAATTGCACGTTAAACAATTCCAGAATCACACGCTTTAAAAACGCCAAGTACCAAGCAACGTCTTCATTGCGACGTTGTGATGTACAGCAGTAAAGAATTGGCTGGAATCTTCCAGCACGATCTGAAATACCCACAGCAGAAACAGGGCATTTCTGCTTTACGCAGTCGTGCGTAGTGTCTAGATAAAGAACTGTGAAAGATCCGGGTTTTGTTGCACATCCACATAGCTCTCAAGTTGTCTTGTACATGTTAACCCAATACGAAATGGATTCCCTAGCGCACCGGTGCCAAGAGCTGGTTCATGTACACCATCCACCACTTTGGTATCGCAAAAAACTAGCAAAGAATTCGGATCTTGATCCCAAACTCTACGAGAATCTTCACAATCATATATGCATTGTCGACAAATTTCTAGCACAGGCTCCATTGAGTCCGGCCGATTTTTGCGCCGCCAACTTTTTTTGATATTTCTGCACCTTGGCTAGCTCTGGAGCGGGCCCTATAATGCGCCGGTCTCTTATCTCACGACAAAGAAACGAGTACAAAGCTTGGGCCACAATTGAAGGTGTGTCTTCCAGCCTCGTGTCCAGATAGGCTTTCATTGCAGGATTTAGCCTAGCTGTTGTAGGTGAAGGCGGCGCATCTTCAGCCATGATGTGTACGCCTTGCTCTAATATAATTTTGCCGTCACTTTCTTGGCATTCTAGTAGCTTGTACCGACAGCGGCAGGCTTCTCCAGACGCCTTGCAACGCTTGGAGGTACACTTTGTAACTATGTAGCGCATTTCATGCCAGGTAGTCGCTAAGCTGTCCTCGTAGCGAGAGATGTGATCT